CGAATGGCAATTATAAAAGGGAGGTTTTAGTTTTTTAAACTATAATTTTATTTACTTTATGTGTTGCTAGTTATACAAATACATCAAAATATTTTAAATTAAATGAGCGTAAGAATTGATGTCCAGTTTCAGGGTCGATTACCCCACTGTGCGTCGATGCAACTATAGTCGAAGATATTACATTTCATATATGTCGCACAGGGGCCAAAGTTCAAATTACCCTGTGAAGACGTCATAACCGACTCTACCAAAATTTATATGTGATATCCTCTATTTTAGGTAATAAATGAAAAAATAATAATGTTTGAGTCCATAGAGGCAACTGTCCTCTGACCTCTTTGCGATATGCCTAAACCGACTCCAATCGGGACCAAAATTTATATGTGATATCTTCGACTATGGCAGTATCGACATGGTGATTGCGGCTTTGGATATCTGATGTAAAATTTGCTTCCTACATTTGAGGATCACCCTAGTGAACATAGATACATAATATGTATGTATATTTGTTTAAAAGTAAACAAATAAATAAATTTTAAATTACCTTATTAATAAACAATCCCTCGCATAACTTTCTTTCATAAAAAATTCATTGCATTTCTGTTTTTTTCTGGCTTATTATAAATATTTATGTACATAAATTATTTCTAATACACATATATTTTTGCTTGTTGTATTTTTCTTTTCCAAAACAAAGGTATTTGGCCTCCACGCTCTGTTCTAGTTGTACCACACCACGCATTGTTGTCGGTCTGCTCTTTTGGATTGGCTACTTCAACTCTGCCTTGAATCCAATCATTTATGCTTATTTCAATCGCGATTTTCGCGGCGCTTTCAAGGAAACGCTAAAGGTAAGTTTAAAGTTTTGATAAAAATTATTTTTAGTTTGCAGTGTTGATAGATGCTGCTTGCCGCTTGTAAAAATAAAATGCACTTTTTAATTGGAAACATGATGTCGAATAACTCAATAAATACCTACATGAAAAACTCATTTATTATAACACCAACTGCTATTCCTAAAATGCTTCAAACAATTACTTTTACACAAACAACAACACTTGAATAATTGTATATACTTATACAACTTACATATGTATATTTTTATGATTTTCAACTTATAAACGTGTACATATGTATAAAGAACGAACTACATATGATAGGAATAACGAATTTGTATGAATACTACATCCTACGAATGAACTGAACGCCTTTATAATTTTGAAGTACGTCACCTTAAAATATGTGCCAAATATCAGCAATTCAAAATGAGCACCTTCATCTTGTCTCAAAGAAGTTTGTCTAAGCACTCCGGGGCCAGCTATCAGAAAAATTATTTCCTATTATTTTAGATTTTGCTTGGACCAGGCATCGAACCTGAAATCAAATAAGTAGTTGTATGTCCATCTTAACGAACAAATATTCCTCTTTTTTGAATGAAGGCGCCAAGGTGGGTTTGTGGGTAAGAGGCGAGGCGTTTATTAGCAAGAACTCTCACTCAGCCTCAATTTGCGATTGCTGATCGATTCTCTTATTAATGTCTATTCAGAGACTATCTTTTCTGATAGCTAAGTAACAATTAAAGCACAAATCTACTTCGAAAATAGTTATGTAATATAGACTTACTCTGTTTGGGTGCCAGACCATTAAGACATACCGGGCAATTGCGTTGCAAATGAATCGACGAGAACAGCAAGCTCAGTACCGCTCTTAATGCGGGCATTCCTCATTTATGGTTGAAAAGTAACTTTATAGAACAGGCAAATAGGTATAAGATGATCTGCAGAGCTCATGTGCTGGATAAAAAGAACTTCTGACCGAAGTTGGATAAGTTCCTCCTCCGCATGGAGTGGTATGATTTCCTACTCGGCACTACGTGTTAAGTATAATCCGTTTGCAGTCAAACGCTATCGTAGCTGCCGTGATGTGGAGGAATCAAAAGTGTAGAAACGCACTGGCGAAGGCTCGTCGACGTTCGTCCGCTAAGATTTTGTGCGGTTAACCAGACCACGGAATTGTCTTTAATTTCTTGGGCAAGAGGAGGAACGCAATAAGTGTATAAGTTAGCATCTAGCGTCTAACCTATCCGAAGTACATCTTTAATTTTAATGGAAATATTTGGGAAAACCTTCCCCTATTACACACCGATAATCATCACATTTAAAACTTTCTTTTTACGAACTTCCGCAAGTGGCTGTTCAGTAAGAAAGCGTAATTTTTGGCTGCCAAGTGTGAATGACTCAGTCGATAGTACAACTTGTTGAGATCTCGTTGTCTGATGGCTTGAATCCGGTCCACAGCCAATCGTTTTCGATAACTGGACTTTTTTCATGTTGTATTATTTGTTCAACTATTAAAAGGTATACATACATATTTTTCAACGCTTTACCATACTGCAGTAAGAAATAAGCTACTTTACTGTTTTGCTAGTCCATTTTCATCTCGGAAAGTCAGTAGCCTTTTTCAAGCATTTAAAGCATTAACAAATCCGGTCTCATCAGACGTTTTATTATTCTGTTCATTGCAAGTATAAATTACTTGACGGTTCCCAACCGTAGCATAAAACCAGAAGCTGGTACAATGTTAACGGGGGTCCGTTTATAAAGAAGGCCGGCTGCTACTGGTGAACAGATGTTGCGGACTTTAGTGTAGCGTTAACCCAAATAAGTGGGAGTGGCTCTCGTAATTTAAGGCTCCACAAGAGTTTGCTACAGATGCTTCGTGCATTGATTGCTCATTTCGCTCACGGTGCTCGGACGAAGAGTACAGTACACTAAATATGGCCGATGCTAGAAGACACTTTAAGATTACCTATGAGAAATAGTAGATAATAGCAGTACTTAGAAGCTTACATATTGACTAAAAATACTTGCGCATAACTACAAGAAGACTTCAAAACTACTTAACATATTCTGGCACAAACATAAACAACATGATTGGTTTTACTCGATTGGTACATAATATTTAAATAATAAAAAATTTCATGTATACTTACAAATGTATGTAGTTAAATATATTTATTTAACAAGTACATATTTGCATTTTCTTGGACGCTTCTATTAGTACCGACAAGTAATGAAATTTCAAATCGAAAAATGGTGGGTATTTATAATTAATAACTTTACTGTTACGTAAACGCTGTAGTAGACTATACCTAACGCTGCACAACATAACTAAAATTAGAAAAATTAATTAGATAGACATAATAGAATAAAAGTGAATATGAGAATGCAATGCTTTGTACCTGCAATAGTGCTGATTTTTCTGTTCTTTACATTATTTGTTTGTTTAGCCTATTAGTTAGCAAAACTTTTGTTGCTAATGAAGAACAAAAACTATCAAGGCCTTAATTATTTCTTCTATGAACCCCGATACCACATTCCTTTGAACTTGTCATCGCACGAAAAACTATCTAAATAATTAGATAATAATATGTAGTTTAAATTATCATTCCCTATTCTGCAAAATTTTGCTCTAAAAATCACAAAAATTTACTTTGGTAACCATTTCAATTCCTCATGTTGAAATACATATCAACATATCCATTGCTGAGTTGAAGATTGATCTATCTCGGCCGCCAGTTCGAAAACGATAAAACGATGTAACTCCAAAAGCTTTTGAAGAACGCTTTACTTCAGAATTTGGTTGAGAACGCCCTAGCTGATATAGGGCGTTGTTCAACCAAATTCTGAAATAGGGTGTTCTTCAATAAAATTCTGAAGTAAATCGTTCTTCAAAAGCTCTCTGAGATAGGGCGTTTTCGAACTGGCTGCCGAGATAGGTCGATCATCCACTCAACCATCGATATATAATATCGGTCATATCAATAGCACCCCCATTTCAAAGTGATATTGCTTGCCAATTATGTTTACATATGTATTTATTTTTAGGAGTTTTTAGTTAAAATACAGTTCTGTCTCTAACAAAACCCATACTAACGCAAGTTTAAATCTTTTTATTCAGGTTTTATTAGAGAATGAATTGTGTCTTAATTGAAAATTCTTAAAAATAAATAATTAAACGTAAGTGGTAAACAATATCACTTTGAAATGGGGATACAATTGATGTGACCGATACTATACATACTTATATACGTATTCATTGACAGCTTATGTCGCAAGTCTTTTATATGCAATTTGCACGAAATGAGTTTCTAATATTACTATCCATTTTCGCCTTAACTCTCACCTTTGGTGTACATATACAAAAAAATTAAATATGACTTTACTGTCTTTGATGACAGTTACATAATGAAGAAATGGATTCTTATCTCAGAAGCACGTTTTTGCTAAACTGCAGCTAAAAGAGTTTGAATATACATACATATATACTATGTATATACATCATATTTGCATACATATTACAGTAAATTACAAAAAAAAGATAGATGATGGTGCCAAAACATGAACTAAATATGTACTCCAAAAAAATACTTACAAAAAGAACATTTGAATAAGTTGGGGAAAGCTGAAAAAAGGAGAAAATTTCCACAGGATTGAACGAAATGCCATAAGAAATACAATTAACAGAAAAATGGTTTAGCGTAGCAATTGTCAGAATTCCACTGCAGGTCGGCTAAATACATGATTCATTAATACAAGGTTAGCAAGGTACATTGAACAGGTAGTATCAGTAGAGCAGCTGATTTGATTTATTTTCAAATTATTTGGTCTCGAAAATGTCAAATATTTTTAATTTTTTCTCACGAAAATTATAAGTTGTNTTTTGTAAATTCTAATGTATTTGCAGGAAATCTGGCATTTTAAACGAAATGTTGAACGTAATATTGATATATCTACGTGAATTACGTAATTTATGTGCTATTTAGCAGTATAAAAACTTCAAAATGACTCAAACTTAAAATAAGACTACTATGAGATTGATGTAAACATCTAATTTAAAAACAGTTTATGTTTTCATCAGTTAAATATGCTTCATATGCACATACAACTAAACATATTTGNTTCAAAATGACTCAAACTTAAAATAAGACTACTATGAGATTGATGTAAACATCTAATTTAAAAACAGTTTATGTTTTCATCAGTTAAATATGCTTCATATGCACATACAAGTAAACATATTTCACGAAAGCTTATACTTCTATTTCACACCAAAGCTACACTGTTTCTATGTAAATTTACAAAGAAACAACACGGTGCAACTGCTAAGGGAGCGGTGCGAGAGAGACAACTGTCAGTTTATCGAACCTTGTATTATTGAATCATGGGCTAAATAGTCTAAAAAAGTACTTGTTGAAGAATTGGTTGCGCGTTAAGGCCAGAACGAGACAGCGGCAGTGATAATGTTTAAACACTGAGGGGAAAAATGTCGTCCTAAAAATAAGAGAAAACTAACTCTATTTAAATATAAGGCATTTAAATATTTCATTCTTGAAATAAGAATTTCTTACTCGAATCGAATATGACGCTCCTTTATTATGAGTACGAGTATTTAATTTTAAGAAAAAATACCATACTTAATATAAGATTTGATAAGTTGTTTCCACAGCCTACCTCCTTAACCTCCTCGGTGAGTTCTGCCTTTACTCTTTGTTTGCAGGAGGTTATANGCGTTAAGGCCAGAACGAGACAGCGGCAGTGATAATGTTTAAACACTGAGCGAAAAATGTCGTCCTAAAAATAAGAGAAAACTAACTCTATTTAAATATAAGGAATTTAAATATTTCATTCTTGAAATAAGAATTTCTTACTCGAATCGAATATGAAGCTCCGTTATTATGAGTACGAGTATTTAATTTTAAGAAAAAATACCATACTTAATATAAGATTTGATAAGTTGTTTCCACAGCCTACCTTCTTAACCTCCTCGGTGAGTTCTGCCTTTACTCTTT